ACACACACACACACACACACACACTAACATTATAGTATAGGACGTGGTGTTGACATAAGCATTGGAAAACCAGAGGAAATAAATATATGTATATTTATATATATAAGTGCTTGGAAAAACGGGGGGAAATTTTCCCGTTTTTCCAAGCACTTATTCTGGTCACAGTCAGAGGTGGAAATTTCAGATCCAGAAAGTAAAAATCCAGACCGCAATTTAGTTTCAACCGACCAGTTCAGCATAATCAGTCACAGAACGCTCGACTTGTTGGTTGGAACAAAATCACGGTCTGGATTTTTACTTTCTGGCTTTGAAATTTCCACCTCTGGTCAGGGTAGCAGGGTGGCCTGGACCCTATCCCAGGTGGTTATAAGAAATGTAATTTTATCTAGACAGAAGGCCCATTACTTCTGTTTACGGGAGCAGCCTTCGGTGCGTCTGAGATGCGCTGCGAGATGTCAGCGTTATATGGCTGTTGGAGCTGCTGTACATGTCATTTGTATCTACTATGCTTGTCCATTTATGTGTCAATGCATGTTCTGACCATCCATGCTCTCTGATCTCCCACATGTCTGGATGATGGAATCCTGTTTCAGTCCCATTCAGGGGTGACATCGCAAATGGGACCTACGAACTGCATCGTCGTGGGTGCAGCCTTCAGTGCAAGCACCACTTCTTTCTGTTTTCAGTGATGTTAGTATGCCCGGGGGGGGGGGGGGGGCAGCCAGTTGACCTCGGACCCCCAGAGGTTTTTTTCTCTCCTTACTTGGGAGCTTTTGGTTCCTCTCCTCCGTTGTCTTTTGGTTTACTTTATTTAATTTCTTTCCTTCCTTTTCCCCGTTCTCTATTACTCTCTCTAATGATGTTTAATGTATCACAACACATCCATGTAAAGTGCTTTGGGACAACTCCGTTGTGAAAGGCGCTATAAATGAAAATAAATTGAATTGAATTAAAATGAATTGTGCTTAGGGTCGCCTAGAGCCTATTCCAGTCAGCAGAGGGCACGAGGTACACACTGAGAGAGATGCCAGTCCCTCACAGGGCACGACAAACACATACACACTCATACACCATGGGACATTTATAGACATCAGGACTGGTGCCCATGGCCAGAAGGTCACGGGTTTGAATCCCAAGGCTGGCAGACTGATGCTGCTGTTGGGCTCCTGAGCAAGGCCTTTAACCCCCAACTCCATGTCTGGAGGTCACAGGAAGAGAAAGATGTAGGTGTAAAGAAAGTGTAAAGAAAATTTTCCCATGGGGGTCAGAAAAGTATCACTATTCTATTCCATTGACGACTGCTGATGTTTCCTCCATAAGTATGGAGTTCACAGATTTCTTCTAGTCCAGTTTATTCTTGTGATATATGTGATAACGAATATCAAAGATGGGCTCTGCGGATTTTCCGCCGGAATTATACGACTTCTGACGGCAGTTTTCTGGGCATCGCATTGCATTTCTTTTGTAGTAGCGCATGGTGGCGCTGTTGGACTTCGCTTGCGTTTGGACGTTCCCAGTTTCCCAGTAATTACTTCATTGTTGTTGCATTATTACGACCCTCTTATGAATTCTATATACGTCTTAGAATTCTATATTAAAAAAATGAATTTCAGAAGACGTTACGTAACTAATACTGAATGTAACTGACATAAAACATATGACGGAATGAAAAATGCTGTGTAATATCTATCTAAGGAAGTAAGGAAATTAAAAGTTGAATTGGCTTTTAAAATAAAATACGGTCAAAGTTTACTGCCGCAATAAATACAATTATGGTCGATGTGACTAGGGGGTTTTAGAAACTTATCTGTGTACTACATCATCAAGTCGAATGACAAAATGTGAAATGAGAAGTAAAATTCGATACTATCTTGAAAAAACTTAGAAGGAAATGAAAATTATATTACATAATACTGGATTCACAATTACATGACCTCAAGTGGAAAGGAAAAGTTTTGCTGCGGGGACAGTAATGTTTCATGATATCCATGTAAACCCTTAAGGATAAACATTGCATAACCATCCAGGAAAACTCGGATATCAGGCGTTTGATTTCCTTTATTTCAGTAGGATGCAAAGATAGTACATTTACTTAAATCCGTACAATAATACGGGAAACTTTTATAGCTTCAACTAGAAATCCGAAACCGAAGAGCGGCCTGTCCGACTTGATGAACGGGAACAAGAAACTTCAAAGACGAACTTTCCACAATGGCTTTTAACGCCAGACCAAATCGTGAAATCCCACGGAAGTTGAAAACCTGAATTCTGGGAAAGCGATATTTTTTTCAATGACAAGAGCACAATACAGGCCATGTAGCGTTCATCTGGGGCACGAACGTTACCAGCTCATTAGCGCCCCCCGACTGCCGCACGAAAATGTGTCTGGCACGTGCTCGCTTCCACTCTTGGCATGTACATTGGCCTTAGCTGACACTTTTATCGATAAGGGCTTAGATATCTAGTAATTTATATCTTTATATAACTGGCTAGTAGGAGTTCTCCTGGAACCCGAATGTGGCCCCGATTTTACCTTTCTAACCAAGCAAGCAAGCTGGTGTTATTTATCGCAATAAAACATCGCCCAGGTGGAGAGACCATCATCTGTAATGTCCTCCACAGCTGACTGTGTTCTCCACCCCGGCCGGTTCTGGATTATCACCATCCCATAACAGACGTGTGGGCATGTCCCCGGTGCATGGGATGAAGGACACCAGCCATCCTCACGAATTCCAGGAGACTCCAGAAAGGATCATGCTGAGGTGGCTCAGAAGAGGCTGTGAAGATAAAATCATGATAAAATCATAAAAATATCATGCCTGGTTCAGAAAAGTAAAAACAAAAGTAATCAAATAAATAACCAAACAAGACAATAATACACAACGTCAGTGTTTACTGACGATCCACCTTTTTGGCACTAGTCAGTCGTGGGTAAGGTTACTCACTCAGGCATGGGGAGAAAATCCCGTCTCCTCATGAATCCGCTCTATGTCTCATGCTGGGCCACGTTGGGGCTATGGCTGGTTTTAGGGGTCGATCATCAACACCTCTGAGCAAAAACCGACACGCGCGCGATAGAATATCACCCGGTGGCTAATTTCACCTTGGTTTATGATTCAGCATCTTGGCTGTGTGTGTGTGTGTGTGTGTGTGTGTG